TTTTATGTGTGATAGAGTTGTATTATTATACATTACTTGATCAAATGATTATTAAATATTCTATGTTTTGTCTTCTTTAGCTTGCTGTTGAAGTTATTACTAATATGCGTACAGTAAAACAATTATCAATGGAAAATGAAGTTTTACAACAATATTCAAATATGATTGATCAAGTATTAATGTTAGTCTTGTGAATATTATGCATGTACATATATTTAAAAAAAATAAGCTATAACCGATTTAAAGTCGACGCTTGAGTGAAATTTGATGATATAGTTGCTTTGATTGTAATCCGTTTATTTTCTTATCAAAGTAGATCTAAATTAAGAATTGTATGTGATTTGTCAAATGATACTTTTATCGTCACATCGATTCATCCGTAATCAGTGGAAACATAAATGACTTAAATTGAATTAGAGCGTGGGTGTAGAGGTGGGCATAAATAACAATCAAATACTCATTCACAGCCATATCCAATACGAGATAAAAAGCAGATTCTGAATCCTAGTGATGAGACTATGAATTCTAATGGATCCTCGCTTGGATACTGATAGACTTTGATGAATTATGCGTGGTTCTACAAGATCTTCAATAACCTCATAGGTCCTAGCATCAGTCAAAATCATCAGGATTTAATCTTGAATCTATTTTAAGATTCACCAGTATTCAGAGAATCCATCAGGATCTCGAAGTATTTACCTAGGTTTACAGTGTGTAGGATACAGGATCCGCTTTTTTCTCCTTGTCCACATTCACATCCTAACACCGTTAAAATCATCTATGCTTTCTCCGATTATGGATGAATTGGCTTGTCAACGAATTACTGTGTCGACAAAGTGCCGTATTATCGTGAATTTTTTGACGATAATTTTTCGATCAAGTGCATACTTACTCTCAATGACAACCTAATTATCCACAATGGACTAATAATGTCGAATATAACTCTCTTTCTCTATAGATATTCACTTCAATCTTCAATAAATTATTTTTTGTTTAGAGTATTTTGGAGACCTGAAGCACTGTTTGCAATGGTATATGGGTTGTACTGGACGATGAGTCCATTGACTTTGGGACTCTTATATTGGCGTGCTTTGATTCTTGTTGAAAAAAATGAACTAGACATGAGCGATGTTGTTATGTAATTAAAACAATAGTTTTAATAATCTATAAACTAACTTTTATCATTTATTTTTATTTTTATAGGATTTCTGCTTTTGGAATGTTCGCACTAGAAGCACTAAAAATTGTTGGAATGTTGTAAGATATACAATTTACGCTTTGTTCTTCATTTTGTCATTTTCGTTTTAGAGGAAAACGTATTGGTGCATCATTTGCTGCTGCTCACGCTTTTTTTGATCTATTTGATCGAATACCAACTATCGATAATGAATCAAACAAAGGACAAGAATTAGTAAAAGAAAAAACTATTGTCTTTCAGTTCTATATATTTTAATCTTGAACTGTTTAGACTAACTTTAGTGGAGAAACAGAATTTAATCAAGTGAAATTTATGTATCCAACTCGTCCAGCAGTTCTTGTTCTTAATAAACTTCAATTGTCGATTAAATCAGGTCAACGTATAGCTCTTGTTGGTATGTTTAAATGAATTATATCTTCTTGTTTATTAATCAGATAATATAATATAATCCATTTAGGTGCATCTGGATGTGGAAAATCAACAATAGTTCAATTATTAGAACGATTTTATGATGTTACAAATGGACAATTGGTAAGTAACTCTTTTCTATATCTATAGTTCAAATACTAATATAAAAACATATATTCTAATATAAATAAGACTCTTGATGGTGTTGATATTCGACAATTAAATCTCCAATGGCTTCGTTCTCGTCTCGGTGTTGTTAGTCAAGAACCAGTTTTATTTGATTTAACAATTGCCGAAAATATAACATATGGATTAGAAAATATTCCAACTGATGAAATTATTCTTGCTGCAACTAAAGCTAATATTCATCAATTTATTCAACAATTACCTCAAGTTAGATTAATATGAAATTGTTTACTAATATCTTCTTATATTTTCATATAGGGTTATGAGACAAAAGTTGGAGTCAAAGGTAGTTTTTTATCAGGTGGTGAAAAACAACGTATTGCTATTGCTCGAGTTCTTATTCGTCGACCTAAAATATTATTATTAGATGAAGCTACAAGTGCTATGGACCCATATAATGAACAAGTAAGTAGTTTAGTTTCTTTTCTATATTTATCTTATTAACATTTCCAAATAATTCGCAGATAGTACAAGCAACTCTTGAACAAGCACAAACAGAAGATCCTAGTCGAACATCACTTATTATTGCACATCGTCTTTCAACAATACGTTCATGTGATCTGATACATGTTCTTGAAATGGGTCGTATAGTGGAAAGTGGTACTCATACTGAACTAGTACAAAAAGGTGGAATTTATTATAAAATGTTAAATACTCAAAACAACGTGCATTAATTATTATTCAACTATTTTACTACCAAACAAATAAATATTTTTACATTTATAGTTATACAAGTGTTTTTTCACTAATATGCATGAAATTAAGTTTGAATTAAATTATATTTAATTTTATAAATCGACCAAGTATTTTAATGAACTAAATAATAGAAGAGAAATTGTGAAAGTATTAAGACAATATTTTATTTTACATTATAAGTTCACAATATCCATTGATTAAATCTAAACTACTAATTAGTCTTTTATTATTCGCTTACCATAAAAAGAAATAATAGAGTTTTTTGTTGATTATGAAATAATAATTAAAATCTGAGAAAATTTTCTATTAATCCTAAATTATTCAAGAACTTTTCCACATAACATTACAAAGTTAATTTCTTCTCTTTTATCTATCAATAGAAAATAATTTCAATGAAAGATAATATCACATGTTCATTGATATAATTATCAACTAATAAAATCATCACAAATCATTCTTATACAAAACAAAAAAACATTATAATAATAGATTAGTTAAAATCTCATATAAATTTGAGAAGAATTAAAAGATTAGTTTTATTTTTAGTAATAAATTAGAAGAACACATTCATGGTATAAGGAAATTATAGATTATAATTTTAATCAACTTGATTTTATATCTAATATACAGCTCATTTCACACAAATTGTTTGGAAAGATAAAGAAATGTATATTAATGTTGTTCAATATAGTCCATCATACAACTATCATCAAACATACAATATAGATGTTTTTCATGTTAAATCTTAACTAATTCAATAAATCAATGATGTTTCTTTTTTTATTTTAATATTAATTATGTTTTTCTTCCTATAACTTTAACCTCACACATTAAAAATATCTGTCAATCCTACAGTAATTATAATTTAGCAATCAATTTGCATTAGCAATGCACAGATATAAATCTAAAATACATCTATGTCGATGTAGAAAAATAAAAAAAAATATAACAATGATTTCATATTTTGTACTCTCCTATACTATCGCATTCTCTGTTTTTGAAAAAATAAGGTTTATAGATATATTTATTTCTATTCAAAAATTTACTTTTATTAACTTTGTCGCTTCCGATCATTCACTCATCAACCAATAAAGAAAAAAATAAATCATAACGTTTGAGAAAGTCAAAAGAAAACAAAATATTATTTTTCAAAATTAAATTTCAACCATAAAAATAATGTTTTGCTGGAGGTTAATACTATAATTTACTCTGATTAAGATTATGGTGTTAACACCCTGGCAAAATATTGTTTTTCAATCATTACTGTTAAGTATTTATCATAGTAATCCTTTGAGGACCGGTTCTTTTTCTCTATACTTTAACATAAATCAATCAACAGTTCTATTTTCAAAACAAAACTTTATGAAAACGTGTGTTCAGAAATATTTTAAAGTATGATACAGATCAAAACAAAATACAACACTACATTTAACACACTCCTAAGTTGTTTTAGTTTCTTTCTTTGGAGCTGTTGTTATATTATAGCAGATATGACATTTTCTTCTCCTTCTTCTTTCCGATGTATATTCAGTTGACTAGTTTCAAATGAGTGAAAGTGTCGAAAAGTAAGTTTCGTTAGATTCAGTAAAGGTGATCTTCATTTTTTTTCATTCTTTTGACTTTCAACAAATTCTATAATGGTCGAATTACTTTCAATCGAAATTGCAGACACTGATTTTAGCTTATAGAGTTTTTTCTTTGAAAGTCGGTTTTGTTATATTTATTATTCATCACTGGATATCTAAATAACATAACCCAATTACAATCTAAATTATATCGGATACGTCCCTGGTAGACGCTTCAACAAAAACTTATCTCATATTGGAATTTGTGTGTTTTGAAATGCCAAAGAACAACCATCTCTAAAGCGTTAAGATATTACATCAATATTCTTCTTTCATAATAATTCAAAAAAATCATTTCTTTCTCTATTCCTATGTTTGTATAGGTAATGATTTATTCTATATGACAATAAACAGCTTCTTTTACCATAATAATCCCATCACTTGGATACTATTGTTGACTATGCAGAATATTTTCCTTTATTTTTGTACAAAATAAACTACAATTACATATAATATATAATTAATTATAATTAAGAAATGGCATTGTATGATAACCTATTTTTTTCTCTTTTCTACATCAAAATTATGTTAATATTAACACAACGCAGCTACAAATAAATATATACACATACGATTTTATTATTTATTTTTGATAAAGTAACAATATAGGTATAATTATTTACCTTAATTATATTTAATTTAATAAACAATAAATGTGAATATATGAACTTCTATCTATATTATAAGGTTTCTCATGAACATCAATGTAGAATATTGATATTTATTATATATACATATGGTGTGTCCATCCTAATTCATATTTGCACTACAATACTAAACATACATCTATACATATCTTTAAAAATCAAAATAATTCAATTAGGTAATGTTTATAATACAATATAAATCAATTTCAAAGTAAATTAAAATAAAGATACAGTACAATCTTAACAAAGATTCAAAAGTATTTTTACATTGTCTGCACCATATACTGCAACTGCAATATATTCCCAACCATCATTATTTAAATCTTGAAAAATTATCCAATTTGGATCAGAATTATAACCTAATGGATACCAGGTTTGATTAGTGAATCTTCCATCACCAGTACCAAAAAGAATACATATATTATTTGTACCATAATTTGCTATTGCAATATCTAACTCATAATCTCGATTAAAATCACCAACAGCAACTGATACTGTTTGAGAATCATCACCCATTGAATAACTCTGAAATAAAGAAAAATCTCCATTACCAGATCCCATAAATACAAGAATATTATTTGTTCCAGAATTTGCAACTACCAGATCCATCATAGAATCTTTGTTAAAATCTCCAATAGCTAATGATGATGGAGAAGAATTATTACCAGTTGAATAAAGTGTACTATTTAAATACATTCGATTTCCACATCCAAGAAGAATACCAATTGTATTTGTACCAGAATTAGCTGTAGCAATATCAATTTGACTATCATTATTAAAATGACCAACAACAACTGATGAAGGTTGTGAACCTTCATTCAACATCAATATTGTTTGTCCACCAAAAGGTTGATTACCAGATGCTAGAAATACTTGAATATCATTTTTACTTGCATCACTAATAACAAAATCTAGACGATTATCATCATTGAAATCACCAATGGCAACACCATATGCAGTTGATCCATCTCCTACAGAAGTGATCGATATACTAGCAAATGTTCCATCACTATAACCATAGAAGATACCCACATTAGTACTAGTTTCATCAACAGCAATAATATCCAATTGATTATCATTATTAAAATCACCAATTTTTAAACTCACTGGATTAGAATTAATACCAGTGGAATATGTTGTTAAATTACCAAAACTACCATTACCATATCCATAGAATACCCCAATATTACTTGTTGCATAATTTGCAGTAGCAAGATCTAACTGTCCATCTTGATTAAAATCACCAGCAATAGCATACCATGGAGAAGAATGATCACCACATGAAACAAGTAGTTGTTTTGTAAAACTTCTATTCCCATATCCAAAAAATATACCTATAGCATCGATTCCTTCATTAGCAACAATAATATCTAATTGATTATCATTATTGATATCAGAAATAGTCACTGAAGGGTGTGGTGTGGTGTGGTGTGGTGTGGGTGTGGGTGTGGGTGTGAGTGTGAGTGTGAGTACAGAAAGAGGACAAATACACTTATACGTACGCACGTACCCACACCTACATCCTAAACCTTGTCTAATTTTTTCAGACAAAATATCGTAATGTCCTATTTCCAATTTATGAATGACATAAACAGATTCAATTCAGATTGAATAGTTTCCTTAACGAAGAAAAAACAAAGTCGATACTTTTCTTTAGAGTAAAAAGTCCTTCATCCAATAAGAATGAGACCTTGAAATGTGCTGTAAATAGAAAAATTTTAATAAAATCATAAAGTATTCGTCTGAAGTTTTATTTTTTGAATAAAAAAAAGAAATCAGCAAAATGAGAATCATTCTCTTTCTCGAGAACGCACGAGAGTTTCGGTGTGAATGAAGTTTTTGGTAAGTGTGGACGTTATATTACGCTGATATTCACATTCACCTATGCACATTCTCAAATATTATGGTTACATCTTTGCATATTTATTTTATGAACAAGAGAAAATAAAATGATTTTACATAGGACAAAATACACGTTTAGATTTAGTAGATACTATAATGTTCACACATTGTTAATTAAGGCTAATGATTGGGTCAGTATAAAATTGCATGTATTACGATAATCTAATAGTTTCTCATATTGTTTACTTCATCTCACATGACTTGTCCATGCCCATGCTTTTGCATATCTACAAGTTCTAATAAAACTTCATATCCAGCGACTACTGCATCAATCACAGCTATCTTCGAACCCAAGGTAATTACAGATTGTTGTACCGTGCTCTCCAATCCACTCATTCCTGCACATCCCAAGACAATAACATCACATCCATTCTTCTCAACAAGTTCTCTGGCAGCTTCAGTTATGGCAACATTGACAATATCTTGTTCAGCAAGTTTCAGACTAGCAGGAGAAATATTAGTTGCTTTAATTCCTCCACATCGATGATCAAGTGTCATATTACGAACACTTTTAGCAAGTAATGCCTCCCACTCTTTATTCGTTGTTACAATTCCAAATCGATGTCCTAAAAGTGTTGCATGCACAAGACTGGCTTCCATAATGCCAACCACTGGTTTATCGGTATGTTCTCGCAACATTTCGACAAGTGGATGTTCAGAGAAACAAGCAACAAGAAAACCATCATATTGTTGAAGAAGAGGTATCAAATTGTGAATAGATGCAGCAGCAGATAAAATTTCAGTTGTAAATGATGTAATCTCAGCGGGAGCAGTGGAGGGAGCGGTAAATTGATCCACTTGACTAGACGAATAGTTTTCTAGACCGATTAAAGCTTCTGCTGCAGCAGATGTCATAGAAGATGTACTATTAGGATTTATTAATAAAATTTTCGTTTGTATACTTGAGGGTAGAGATCTAGATGCAGGCATTTTTTGTTCTACGTTGTTATATATTCATTTTTTAAATCATATTCGAGGGTGCACTTTATTCCAAAGACAAAATATGTGTGATAAAATTTGGCTCTTTATTATCTTTCGTCTAGGACAAATTACTTTCGTTTATCTTTCACTTGTTACATGTGTCGATTTTCTTTTGCACCAAATGGAAAGATATAAGTATGTAAATAACGAATGAATACATGATACATTTATACAATGTTCTCGAACATCAAACGGAATGATTTTTTCGATTTGCTCGTCAAAATTTTTCAAAAATAATGATGAATTATAAGGAAAAATTTATCAAAAATGAAAGATATACACTTAAGTGTACTAATAGGTATACAAATATTAAATTTTCGTATTCATGTATGATATCATCCTTGTGCGACACTATCTTTTGTAATATATCAACCTTGTATAATGTAACCTTCATTATGAAGGGAGTCTCGTCCTTGTTCTTTCTCTTTTCTTTCACCTCTCTCGTATATAAGTTTGCATTATATATAAAAATTCGTTATGTTCTTCTCTACCAGCTACTAAATATCTCGACTATCTAACGGATGTCCACAATACTTCTATTCTTTTGAATGAGTGAGAGTGTGGGCGTATTGAAGAGAGCATCTACATCCATTCTTAATACTTTTTCAGTTGAAATTATTTCCTTCTTTCCAAAATTTTCTTTTTCTTTGTTTTGTTACCTCTCTTCACTTTCTTGCTTGAAATGTTTCATCAAATTTCTTTTTCAAGTCAAATATATAGCTGAAAAAAAAATTCATAAAACAGTTAGAAAGATTTAATCGACAGAAAAAAGACGGCTCAAATTTGTATATACGGAATTCTTATTAATATGAAAATAATTAAAAAATATTACTCAACAAATATCTTGATAATGATAATGATGAACGTAAGACTGGATGCATGACAGAGAGTGATCTATGTCTGATCTTTACCTACATTGAAATCTATATTGAAATATTCTTTCATTGAAAAAACATCACAAAAAGCGTTTGTATTTTTATTTAAAATTACAAATAAATCAATTTTCAGTTTCTTCTACTGCCGAGCAGTATTTTTAATGTCATTGAATCATTAAGTTTATGTTTAAAAAGGTAAATAAGAGAATTATTCAAAGACATAGCAATGACAAATAACAAAACACAAAATTTTAAATGTAATAAAGAAAAAATAAACTATCCTTGTGAAGGATGTTTAAAAAGATTTTATTTTATCCATTTAATAAAACATCGTCAAATGTTAAATGAAAAATTAAATAATATTATTAATGATTATGATCAATTAAATTGATCAATGCGGAAAGAATTAAATTAAAAAAAAAGCATAAGATTGTAAGAAAAGTATCATTAAATATTCACAAAGTTTTTGATGAAATCGAAATGATATTTAAGCATTTAACTGAACAAATTCATAGAGAAAATGAAATTAATTTAATTATTTCAGAAATCAATTAATATAAATAGAAAATTAAAATTATAGAATTTATTCTTATACAAAAGAAAAGAACGATAAGATGTGAAACTATATTAAATTTAAAAGCATTTTCTTCAAAGTTTGAAAAGATATTTGATTGATAAGAATAAAAGTTAATTATTCTAAGAAAAACACAATGATTAATAAAAAACATATTGTTAGAATTTTATCACTTTAAATATTTTATATTAAAGTTCTTGATAAATTAGAACAATCTAAATCTTTTTATTAGTTACAATAATAATTTATCAATAAGAATGGAAGTCTGTGAATGCATTTATCACACTCGAAATCCATCATAAATGCATATAAAATAATTTATTTATCTTGATAAATCAATTATATAAGTAGTGAAAATTCCATTCACCTTTAATGTACTTGTAAAAGAAATGAGTTTAGTGGTAAATTCATAGTATAAAATTGAAGAGAAGATCTGTGGAACTGTATAGCTCCGCAGTCAAAAGCGCTACATATAATTTATTTCTTAGTTATAGTGTAAATATCGTTCATCACTAATTGATATCAGCATAGAACACACCTACACCTCCCTCCGTTTTCATCAGCCAAAAGGATATTATATAGCTGTTACCAATCGCTGTCGCGACTGATTGACCAAGAAAGTCATAGCCAGTGTTGCAATGGCCGCTATAGCATGTATTACCAAAACCAGAGTGACAGCCACTACTGATGATGTTACCGCCATCACCGCTACTTGAACAGGAAGATGCGTATCAGGTGACCCATCCAGATGGTACTGCTGTTGAATTCTCAAAGCTAGGATTTTGAAGAAGCTGAATTGAAGATGCATTTCGACTGACGAAAGACACGTCATTCAAATAGGAAAGTTCTCCTGCTGGTCCACCGTGTATCGTAAATGTAAGAGTAGATATTAAATTCGTTGCCGTATAGTTAAAACTAAACTGTGTCCAAGACATAGCGTTACTCATTGAAAACAGCGAACCGAGACCTGACGACGATGTGCATGACGTTGCTACAACAAATCGATATATAATAGAAAATTTGACAGAAATAGTCACTAGTTGTAGTTAGTGGCGTTGTTGTCTTTGATGTTGTTGTCGTAGTCTGTGATGTCGTAGTTGTTGTGGTAGTCTGGGATGTAGTTGATGTTGATGCAGTGACTAATGAAAGTTACATATATATGTGTACTAAGCATCTTTAGACAATAACTAGCTTGAAACTATACTATGTACTGTGAGAGAATAAGTGAGTATAGTAATCATCCTTCGATCTCTGTTTGAGGCTGTCAGATTTCTATGTATATGGTGTAGCCCAAATTAAAATCTACAGTTTTTACTTACAGAAACATAAAAAAATTATTGTAATTTGCGCTAGCGGAGGTTAAAGCTTGATATCCCCTACGATATATACTTCGAAAGAGTACAGGCTTACTGTTAAAACTAGTTGTGCTTTGCGCTGTAACTGTAGTGGCCGATGTCATTTCGATTGTTGGTAATGAAATAAAATAAATTGAACTTTCTGAATTACTCGTTAACGAAAAAGAACTTGTATCAAGAGACAAATAAAATAGTTCACATGTTCTATTATTTGCAAAACAATTGAAAGATGAAATCGATTTCGGGCTCAAAAGCATTGTACAAAGACATTTTTCACAGGTGCCATACATTATTGTTGAATTAGAATTCGATATTTGTAAAGAAACATTATGAATTACTGGGATATGAACTATATTACTTGATTGTACTTTGAGATGATAAAATAGTAAAACAATGATGAAGAGTAACTCATATTTTCATTACCACAATGAAAAATAAAATAAATAACTGTGTTACTCGGCTATTATATTACTCTGAAAAAATCTTCTCATGTATATTACCGATCTTATCAATCAACAGTGTAAGGAACGGACGAAGATGAAATAGAATTATTTATTATTTAACGATCAGTTGTTTCCAAGTTCCAAAATCACACAATCATTAAATATTGGTTACACCTGTGAGTTATTGACAAATAGAAGAGAAAAGCAATCTGTCGCTTCCTATTACCTTTTCTTATTAAATATATGAATTGAAAAATCAAAAATATTGTTTTCTACTTACCATTCTTAGTGTTTTTTTATCAAATTTTTAACAAACTCAATTACAATACTGAGTATACTTGATCTTTTTTTCTGAAGAAGAGACTAAAATTTCAAAGTATATGGTGATACTGATTTTTGAGAAATAGTCAACGTTCTAAATCATACATCACTAACTTAAAATAGAGAGAAACATATGAAAATATAATTTAAGGACAGTAAAATAAATAAAATGAAAAACAGCCGTCTATTTTCGAATATGATCTGTCTACACTGATTTCCAATTTAAACAGTCCTGCAGATGAGGCACAAATTTATCATAGTAAATATACTTCTAACAAGTATCATGTTAAAAATCTCGGAGAAAGCAACAAGTAATACCAACAAATTGAATTAATTAAATTGGTTTTCCATTGAATGTTATTGTACTGGATCGTTTTTTTTTAAAATTAAATTTTATATACAGATGATTTCGTAAAAATTCCACGATGGTCACAGTGCACTGAAACGAGCATGAGATTAATACAAAACTTCAAAGAAAATAAATGACTGGAAGAAATTAGTTATTCTTCTTCAGATTCAAATGCATTTGGCTTTTTTTTCTTGCTTCATCATTACTCATAACGGTATTTATCTCCTATGGAGAAAAACGAATCATCATGACACATGAGTGTCGCAAAAGAATAAATTCTTGCATTATAAAAGTTCTTTCACAATACAGAGATAAATAACTTCAACGAGATAAAACCAAAAGCTTGGTTATTTTTTGTATTTCATCAACGAAAGAACAAACGAAAAATTTCTACTCTCGAAGATTCTTTTTTGCAAAGGTGAATATGAGTTAGCAAAGTATAGTATACATATCTTCCTAGTCTGAAACTTGCTTATAATATCGTTAGTGAGTTTAATAAAGATATGCATACAACTACAACAGCTATATAGTTGAAATGTTTGTAAAACTCTTTTTATTTGTATGCTGATATAATCGATGTAACTTTTGATAGTAATTGGGAGATTTGGTTTCCATCTACAACTAATTCGCTGAGTTGAGTTTTTTAATTTCTCCATCGTTTAGTTGAAGAAAGGATGAAAAGTTAGGTGAATGAATTCTTTGAATAGTTTGGTTATTATGTAGAATAAATGTTTGATAGGTTTAGTTGATAATAATGATTGTTTGGCTCGTTTTTCCATGTTTACAATGAAGAATTTATTTTACCTCTTGGACTGTTTTGTTTTCTTAATTAAGATTCTTTTAGCTCTTTATTGATAGCGATCGTTTTTATCTCGCTTTCTTTTCTTTTTATTTTGATATCTGAAGCCGGTTTTATCTATAATAACATTTTTTCTGCTCTTTTCTTTTTCGTCTGAC